GGATGAGCTGCGCATGCGCGCCGAGGAGCCCTTTCCCGCCCCGAAGCCCCTCGGACCCGGGTCGCGCAGGCGCGCTCGCGGCTCTGGCGCGAGCCTGCGTCGCGCGTGCGCCGCGGCCGGCGAGCCGCGCGGAGCGGGGACCGCAAACCCGGCCAGCCGCTTCGGGGCGGGAAAGGGCTCCTCGGCGCGCATGCGCAGCTCATCCCCGCGCGAGCGGCAGCCTCGGCCTCCCGGCTTCGCCCAGAGAACCACGCGAGGAACAAGCTCCCAGCATTCCCGGTTGCTCGGTGCCCCGCTGGCAGGGGATTGTGGGAGCTGCGGCCCAAAGGCCTCTGAAGGGCGCCAGGGCCAAAGTGGGCCTCGCCAGTCTGGCCTGCGGGGCGACGGGCTCTCGAGGGACTGCCGCTTCTCCGGGGCGGGAGGCTGGCCAGGCCCTGCCATGGCGGGACGACACGCTCTCGCAGAGGCCAGCGCCGAGGCCGCTTTTCACAGTCACAAGTACTTCTCTCAAGAGTTTCCCCCTTGCCTCCGCTGCACTAGCACTGCGGCTGCTGCGGTGTCACTGTCTCTCCAGAAAACATCTCCATGTACAAAGTGCTATACAGTGATTAAGAGAAGGTCAGCATTGCCCATGAAGGACGTGATCCAAAAGGGAAAAGGGGTTGCGGGCAGGGAGGAAGGAAACGTAATTGCTGATCCCAAGAGTTATGTGGTAGGCCTTAAAAGGGGCACGTGGAATGTAAATAGAGGGTTACGAATGTCCGGGTTACAAACAACCCGTACCTACGAACATGTAGGCTGCCGTAAACCCTGTAGAAAATCTTAGGAAAGTCATGACTATCTCTAGGGAACCATGTGATGGGGTTGGCAAGGCATCACGAGTGGTTGCATAGTTCCCTAGAGATACTCACGACTTTTCATTAGCAATGCAGATTCGCTAGAGGTGGTGAGGCCTACATGGCTATGTCTAGGGTACTCGGACACATTTGGCGAGGTGCCACAGTGGCAGCCTAGTTGCCTAGAGAGACAGTATTTATGGCCTTTCATTCCATGCCGTCAGCTCAAGCATGCCCAAGCCAGTGCGCTTTGGGGCACATGCGGCACCCCTTTGGTTTTTCTGTAGCATTTCTGTAGCATTTGGTCCATTGCGGGAGGGCTGTCACTCCTTTTGAACAGGGCTTGTAATGCAAAAAATATATACTTTGTTTCTTGGAACAGCACAAGCATGCATATCTGCACCTGTATGGGGCCAGATGGCCTGCTCAGTGCTGGGGATTGTCTGCTGTCGAAGCTTAGCAAGTGGGCACATGGGCACGGAGTGATGGGGGCAGCAAGAAGTCATTTTTTTGCTTGCTTCCAGGAGAAATCAAGGCCACACGGGCTCCAAATGGGGGTGGCCAGTATCGTGCCCCCTACGGTGGGCCCTTCCAAGGCTTTCTCTTCCACCCTTGCCTGAGAGATGCTGTGGGAGCACAGGGATTTGTCAGCTGGCCGGGGGCAGTGTTAGGTCCCAAAGGATCCAGGGCTGAGGCCCAGGAACAAGACACCCAACGTAAATGCACACATGAACATATGTTCTAAAATCTTTGTGTTTATTGGTGTTCTAGGAACCCAGGATCCCAAAGATCTGCCTCAGGTTCCCTTGAAACAGGAGGTTCTTTTGAGATGCTTTGCTCCAGAATCTCCAGGGCACTTTTCCAAGCCTAAGCCTGCTGCAATGCATGGCAGCAGCCATTCCAAATATTCAGTTGCTGGGGGGTTTCCCATGGCTTGCATTGTTCATTCCCAACTGGCAGGGTTGCTTGAAGGCTAAGCAACCTTCACATAACTCTACAACACACCATGGTCCTGATCGCACAATCAGGGAGAGGGAAATAAGCTACGGTAGCTTACTTCTCCCTCTGTGATGGTGTGTACTTGGTGTGTGGGTTGTTTGAGGGTTGCTCAGCCCTTAACCCTGGTGCGGGGTTCAGATGACAGGACAAATCATGACAGCTGCTGGGGGAATGATCTTCGCAGCAGCTGCCAGAGTGCAGAATAACCCACCGGGCTTTGAATGGGCCACACGGGCTGCTGCAGTCGTGGGCTGGGAGGCAGCCTGGAGCGTCACCCCCTGGGCCAGGCTGAGGAAATGGACGCGGCGGCTGCAGGACAGTGGGGTGGCCAGCACTGCAAGGTCGGAACAGGGACAGCAGCAAACAAAGAGTCTTGCTCCGTCTACAGCAGTGGCGGCGAACCTGTTAGAGACCGAGTGCAGGAACTGCAACCTAGAACCCACATATTAATCGCAAAATACCAACACTACAATGACGCCTGCGAACTGAGGTTTTAGTTTAGGAAAAACAACTCACAAACAGTCCAAGGAAATATATACATATATTTCCTTGGCTGCACACTGACCAGCGATCCAAAAGCTCGAATGAGTCGCAGTTCCTGACTCACGGCTCGTGATGTCATCGCCTGGTGCTGCTGCTCCTTTCCAAGCATGCGCATGGCCCCTGTGTGCGCTTGTTACCAGATGCGCGGCTGATGGGGCCACTTGGCTCGTTTGCCGACGGAGAGGGGGATTTTGAAACAGCCGTCCCTGAGTAGCTTTTTCTGCACAACTCATCATCCCCACCCATTCTAAACACATTCCAACCATCGAAACCATGCCAGGACACCTCGTTTTCCTAACCCTAACCCTACCCTGGGGCCCACCCCTAACCCTAATATAGGGCTAGAGCTCCATTGAAAACAATGCGATTTTGAAAAAGCCGTCCCTGAGTAGCTTTATCTGCCCAGCTCATCATTTCTGCCCATTCTAAACACATTCCAACCATCGAAACCATGCCAG